CCCCAAAACCCCAAAACCCCTTCATTCAGCCATTTACATGTTGACTAGATAAACTTTATAAAAATAAATTAGAAATAATGTTATCCCAGTAGCAAAATTTAGAGGAAGAAATGCCAAACAAACAAGACACCACTAAGGTATAGCAGTAGAAAGTATTTAAGATATCTGACAATAACTTTGACTTTGATCAATTCTACTTTAGCTATGCTAAGTACCACTACAACAGCGTGTAATTTTCAATCTCTTATCTCATAATTATTATAGCAATAAGTTCCTCCACATGATTTTTATTCCCTGTCTTGTGTTTACCTTATTTGGCATTTCACTTCACGGACCTAAAATGAGATATGATATCTGCCATGGATTCTATGTCTAATTAGACATACCTATGGTCTTAATAATCGTACTTGGCGGTACGTACTTATTAGTAGACAAACTCACTGCTGTAAGTATCAGATTCTCATTTTTTTCCACAAAATGTTCATTTTACTTATAACCAAATTAGATCTTCACAATCACTCTTGAGTTGATAGCATATATTTGGAGTTTGAATCTATACTATAATGACAAAGATTAATTCGATGGTAATCATCTCTCAGTGATGCTCTACATTCATGTCATATCATGGATAGCTCAGTTTATAGGTCATTTCATCTATGAAAGTAATCAATTTTTGCAATATCTAACATATAACTAATGTATTATTTAGGGAGAGCCCCAGCTTTGACTGACAATGTTCTGCTTATGTTTGTGGCTCCATTCTTCTTTGGTTTTGAAGTTTTAAACGCTTTTGGCTATAAAAAAGATAGGATATAGGAAGTTAACAAGGTCTTAGTGCAGGAAATTGATTAATATAGAAAGGGCAAAAAGATCATGTGAGAATCTCTAAATTTAACTATAAATTTTATAACTAGCATTATAATGTAATTGGAATAATAAATATTTGATTATTATTATACGCAGTAGATCTTTTTAATAGTTATCTATCGGGGTTTTGGGGTTTTGGGGGGATAAAGTCATAG